ACACCGAGTTCTTGAAGAAATTCCAATTGAGTTAGAAATCGGTTGTTTTCTTCGTATTCTGTTGAAAATTAATAAAATTAGTAAAGTTTTAATTTTACACGACTTTTTCTAACGTTTTATTCACAACTATCAAGGCCCTTGCCCGAATGCGTCAATTAGTTCATCGTGCAAAAATTTCATGACAAGGTTTGAAATTCAGGCTATCACCGATATTTTGCTTGCTGATAAGCGTTAAAAAATGGCTTTTGGCGCCCCCTTGAAGAATTGGGCGCCTCTAATTTTCCGTCGCTGGTGGGGAACGTGCCCCCCTTCCCTGCCCTTCAGCTACCACGCCACTGATTCAACATACTAGGAGGGCATCTTACCTAGCATGTTGCATTTGGACCTAGACATTGGCTTGCACAAAAAAAGAAAATAGTCAGTGACTATGGGGAAAGAAACTGATGGAAATAAAACTTAAAACCTTTCATATAATACTCTCTGTGTATATGTTTGTTTTTATTGCTGGGCAATAGGCTCTTGTGAATATTTTATATAGTTTTATGTGCGAAATAATTTGTATTAAAGTCATGAATATTTTGCTTCTTTGTTAGCCATTTAGAATCCAATGATAGTTATTGTGCATTTATTTTTAAGTGGAATGCACAGAGGCCATCCAGTTTTGTCATTTATATGCATTCAATATATTTTAGCTGTATTACTCATGAAAAACTACAGTAATTTTAGATGTGCTTTTTTGGTCCATGCCAAATTGGGTGCTTGTATCATAAAGTGAAGAATTCTTGTGATATTGTCTGAGTCCACAACGCATATTCAAATAAAAATTTAAAGCGTTTTTCAAGGGCAATAACTTATATCAAATATTTTTCGATGATAACAAACGTTAAATTTTATCAAAATCCATTTAGAAACTAGCTCTATACGCCCACATTAAAATTGGAACGCGTTTTCCAATTACCAGTATGAAATATTCAACCTTCAGTCATACACTTCTTTTGAACTTTTGGGGCGATACTGTGTAGGCCTAATATTAATATTAAGTTTCTTCAAAATCCATCAAGAATTGCGCCTTCTATAGTGTTTATGGGCTAAAACTTGCACGCGTTTCAAGAACAAGGGCAATTACTCGATTTTTTCTGATTTTCAGTAGGGTTCATCCTTGGGTGATAAAAAACACTCACACTAAATCACTTTATCAAAATCCACTAACAAAGGAGCTCTCTGTCATGTCCACAACGATTGTAGGGCGACGACTATATACGTCCACATAAATGTGTGGGCGAAAAACGTTAGAAGGTAAAATGTTGGTATAAATTTTCATTACGTTTGACCGGCGACCTGGTTCATTTCTAGTAGCCGTAAGATCGCGAATGGTCTCACTCTGGTCTGCCGGGGTTATTACTACGATGAAGAACGCAATGATATTTGTATACAACCGATGAAATGAGTAAAGAGATGTAAAATTAGATGATATTATGAAGTGATATACCAGTGTTTGAAATAATGTCTCAATGTTTCTTCTAAATATTGGTCCACCCTATTCATGACTTGTACAGACTGTTTTTATGTTTTCGAGGAGATTGTCCAGAGCATGTCAATTTGATATTCCGTTTATTCCATGAAATATTCGCTTAATGGATAAAGTACTTACTTAAACGCGCTTATCAACATAGGATATCATTATTTTTCCAGCTTAAATGCAAATTACATGTGTGGATAATAACTTAATTTAATTTGTTAGGGCGTCTTATTAGATTTAATCGAAATCAATGTCATAATTTAATATCAATTTAGAGTTACAGTGAGCCAATACATTCTATCCATCTTGGCCCAGAATGAAGCCTTGTCCTCAATTAAATGGTGATTGCGAAATCTGTTTTCTCTAACACATCTTACATATGGCATTGACTGATTCAGCTGATATAGGGTAGGCAGACAACACCGGAAATCATTTATATGATATCATATTTGCCCCAAACTCTCCTAGAGTCTTCATAAATCATATTTATTTAATATATTCAGTTAGAAGTATATTGGTAATCAAATCATAGGCATCTGCTTCAAATATATTGATACACATATGTACATACTTGTCTGATGTAAGGCCAATTATAGTATCTTCTAATACCTAGATAAGACATCATTGACTGTTTGATTGCTTTATTTTGTAGTTTTAATGACACGTAATTAATCAATCTGATCAACTCTTCATCATAAATGGTTCCAAATCATTTCGTTTGCTAATTTCCTATCTTGAAAACCAGAAAGTACTAGAATCAGATTGAGTGTGTCTTGGTTCAGGAGGTTTCAAGCTTTGAGTAGGAAGCAAAACCCAGATGCATCACGTTCTACAGCTGTGCGAAAAGCGCGTGTACGTCTTCAAAATAGGCACTTTATTGAAATTCGCCTGTTTGTATCTAAGGGGTTAGAACGAAGAATAAAATTTCAATGTAGGCTTACCAATGGATTTACATCTGGCATGTCATGGAACATACCGAGAAAACAATTTCAGAGAAAATTAAATATTTCTGCTGTTGTTCAAAACGTGAGTTATAAATATGGGTCTCTAATGAAAATCGCTTCGTAACGTAAATCAAATGTAAAAGCATTTAATTTATCGGTTTGAGGGATCCACAATTAACAATACGAATCCACAAATCAATCTCAAGCACAATGACAGCACTTTTTCTTTTCTCAAAAAAACTTTCTGAAAACATAATATACTAATCAACATTTATTCTCTTACTGGAAAGTAAATCGTTCATTAATTTTGTAGGAAAGTTATATAGCAACGATAGCTGTAGGCCAGTAAATATAGGAGAAATCAAACCCTTCACTTAAATTCAATCCAAATTCGACCAAAGTGAGATTTCAACATTGAGTTTAATTTTATATTTTGTAAATCTTAGCAATCACAATCGTTAAAACGGCCACATTGAAAGAATCTTTTTCATGTTTTACGGTCGTTATAATGAAGAAATAGCCCATTGATGTAACAGTTATGGATGAAGTCGGTGTATTTATGAGTCGCGTTCAGCTGGAGAAGGGAATAGATTAGTCTTTTACGACATGTACATTATCACAGAATAATTATCTTTATCGTACATCATTACAACATAATTACGTTTATATCGTCATTATTGAGTAAGAATATAAGTACACACTGAAATCCCACACATTGCTGATTCTTTATTCTCGTCTACCCGCGCCCTCGTTTTGATCATCGAAAACGGGTGCCCACGCTATCTGGCTGAATATTTTCACTAAAAGTAACCTTTTAAAAGTACTAATTCGTAGACCGTTATCAATTATGATAATCTATTAAGACCATATGATCTGGCCGCAACAATCTTTTTACTAATTCGATCACTTGACCACACAGGTCGTTAGATGATATCATTTATAAACGTTTTGGCGTTATCACTTCAGGTCAAATAAGCACCCAAGCTTCAATTGACATGGAAAAATGGATCAAGTTTGTGAAAAGGAAGTGATTGTCGTATGGTTTGCGTCGATCAGTTCAAGATGAACGCAACCAGACACAGAAATATTATTGCATTCAAACTATTGATTGGCTAAATAAGCATGAAATGTTGCCAATTCAGACTAAATATGGTTTTATAATTAATATACTCAAGAGCAAAATATATGTCAGACGTCTACTGGGAAAATAAAGTCAGATATTCGTAAGGTGCATGGATGGTAACTGATTCTACTCACGATAGGGTCATTTTCTTAATTGCTCTTTGGTGCTTGCTAAAAGATAAGTCCTCCAAATATTATTATAATTATTATAATTCTATCAGATGACGAAGAATTGATTACGTTGCGAAGGTGACCCTTGAGATTGATTTTGTTATTTACTTCTGATGCTGACTTAAAGGGATTAAAATATGTACATTCCCGCGTTGAATACCTCATCATATTTCTTAATGAATTATCGAGGTATATACATGTATTATTACTTGTCTATAAAAGTTTTGAATTTTTGTTGAAATGATGAATTTCAACAAAAAGCGATACTGATAACGGAAGTGTGTGTGAAACTTTAGAAGTTTTGTCGAGAACCTTACAAATATAGAGCCTACACTACTAGCTTTAGTCCAGTCCCTCTCAAGAAATATATTTTTATATAAATTAACACAATGAAAATTTTAAAGCAGCATGAAGCTGAGCGCAGATTGTTTAAAATTGTACCAAATTTGGTATTTTCACGCAAAGTTTTTGGTGTTAATGGATACAAATAGAATAATACTAAGAATACCTTCTTCGACTCATACAAGATGACAAGTTTCAAATTGTAGCCTGTAGAGTGAGTGCAAATGGTTCATTGTTCCATGTCAAATCCACATTGTCCGGTCATCACAATGATCGACAGATACCAATGGTATTGGATATCTGCAACTTTAAAGAAAGTGACACTCATATTGCAGTTATCTATAGTTTATACTACGTGTACGCTTATCAAGACATTGAAATAATTTGGTTAGTTGCAAAAGGATAACACAAAAACAAGAGAACTGTCATAAAATGTAATTATCCATCATTGAACAAGTTGTTATATAAAAAATAAAAGTAATAAGATATTATAAGTAAGTAATGAGCTAATTTTAAAATGTCATGTGAAAATGTCGAACACTCGGATGTCAGAATCGCAGGTGTTCTTCCCTTAATGATTTATCGACGGAATTCAGATACCAGATGCTCGGTATGAGTTTTATTGATATTGATACGGTATCCGGAGGATCCAGTTGAGCTGATGATCTATCGTTGTCTGAACATATTCAGTGGAATAATAACTCTTACTGAATATAAAGTTTAAACCCATTATTTGATTTGTTCATTGATTAATTCAAGATTTTTACTTTTTCATGATTTAAAGGTATACTTCCTCGAAGGATGACCAAAAATTTAATTTTTGAGAGAGAGAGAGAGAGAGAGAGAGAGAGAGAGATAGATAGAGAGAAGTATAATATAATAAAGTAATTAAGATAGCTTACCTATAAAACAACCAGTAAACACTACACCATACAGAATGATAAAGATAATCTTGATATGTAGATAACTGAATGGATGAATGAAATCTGGGCTGGAATATGCAGTGATATTCCGCTGGTCAGCACTCGTATTGTACAATGTTCTGTTATCAATCGTCATGGTCATTATCTGTTGAGGAATTCCTGGTGTTCTGCTGATTTAAGGTGTCAACTGGCATCAATTTTATATCCCTGACTTAACTTTAGGATCAAGGCATCACATAGTATTAAGCTAGGATTCGTTAACTCTGAAATAAGAGAAAAATATATGCTATTTTTGCCGATTAGCGAACAATGGCCAAAGGCTTTTTTTTCTCAGTCAATGAAGATCTTTTGGCTTGAAGCAACCCGAGTCATTTATTCTTATTTCTGTTAGCTCTCCGTGGTATTAATCCTTCGGGAAATCTTTGACTATTCCTTACTGAGCTAAAGAGATCAGTAAGATAAAAGAATCATCATTGAAGGTAATGGGAATAGCAGCTGTAAGAAAAAAGCATTCGTTTTATTTTTTTTAGATTAAGCAGATCTCCAGGCTTTGAAGTTGTTGCCAATACTCTGAAAGGCTGACATTAGAACTAAATAAATACCCACAGAAGAGAAACCATCACAGTTTTTCCCTCTATTTTTCAAAATTAACCACTTTAAAATTCAAGGAGATTGCGGTTGGAAAGGAGAATCAGTTTGGTAAATAAAGTTAAATTGGAATTGGAAATTGAGTATTTAGATTTATCATGTTTTGTTAAACGCACATTTCCAGCATTCGAGCACTCTTCAAAATGATCAAATCCTTGGCACTAACAACCAAATTGGTGAATTATTGATATACATTGTACATTGTCCAATTATTCTTGATATTTTATTTCACTTCATCGTCAATCGATGATTTTGACACCGATAAAAAGATCACACTTCCATAGTAGCAAATTGTATTTAATTCCCAATCTTATCCTTCGGGAATTACGTGTGATTGTCAGTTCCATATTCAGTTTTACAATTTAATCTCTTAACTAACACAGCTAAATTGTTTGACCACAGAACCTCTGACTTGTAAAAGGTTAAAAGCCTTGTCGTACACATTACTGTCTATTAACATTGGTTGAACTCAATTTTAAAGACAAATTTGTGTGTTAATGCATTCCAGATTTCCTGAGAGGGTGTTCGATTGACGTATTGACTCGTACATTTATGCACGCTAGTCCTCGTGAGATGCGCGAAGATACTTCTTGCTCTTTAAAGAAAGGCATATACACATTATCCAAATCAAAATGCCTCTCATTTCGAAAAAAAAGAAAACCTTGAAATCACATTTCGATAAACAAAACTAATGCTGAGTGAGTAATGGATGCCTTTTTACTATTTATCTTTTGTCTATTACCATGTCATTTAGTTGAAATTCCAGCAGATGAATGACAAAAATATGAAATATATTTAAGTTTCTTAACCTTCACAATGATTTTAAAAGCGTCATTCCTTTACACCAGACTTAAACGCTATGAAAAACGATGAAATCTTACTGAATACTTACTTTCAAAATTATAACGTCCTTATAGTTACTTTGACAGAAACAAACCTAGTTAATAATTTGAAATTTCTTTCTGGACTCTCAACAATCTGTATGAAGACAGACACTCCCTTGACTGATCTATCGACATCATACGAGATAATTTCATTTCACATATTGCCAGCTAGTTTGATCTTAACGCCCACAAATCTGAGCTCGTAAATAATGAAAATAAGTCACAAGAAATATCGACACCTTAAGTTTTAGTATCGTTGAGAAATAATGAAAGAGTGTCAGAGAATGAGATATGGTCTCAGGTCGTCATAATTATATAAATGTCTCTTTACTTCGCGAAACACAATATAAAATTAACGTATACCACAAACACAGTAAAGGCATACATAAAATCTTATCAAAACCACATCTTTCGGGACAAGATCGCGTTTCAAAAATAATATTGAGCAGATTTGATCAGTTTTCTCCGGTTAATGGTAAAGATTGGAAGAGCAACAGAAACATAAATTTCATATCGTTTTAAAGGTTCAAAGGTATTTATATTTGAGAAAAAAGCTTCACTTCTATGTTACACAAATAAGTTAAGACGTGATACCCACAACCACTTATACTTTTTCATTTGTATGTGACACCTAACTGAGATTTCACTCTCATTATAGCATTGTGGAGAGGTTTAAACTGTGCTATTAGCAAGAATCAATTACTGGTAAGCTCACAATCCTCTTAAAATGATCTCTCTGTCAATTCTGATCTCTGATTTGAAAACATTTAAGCTAGTTATTGATAAAAGATAGAGTTTTAGTGATTCTTTTATACTTTGTTAATGGTATAGTGAACTTTTTGGATGTTTACTAGATGTTAGAGGATATATTCAATATTAACCCAGAGCGAATAAATGTCATTTTTTGATAATTGTCAATAAAAGGACATAACGTTTGGAAAATCCGACTACATAAGACCTACTGGTTGAAGCTAAATTTATATCTACTAAACTTTCAAAAAATATTAATCTCAGTTTAAAAAAAAAGGTTCTTTGTCTGACAATACAATAAATCTGTGCAATGTTTCAGACTTACTCAGCACTAGAGCAAAATAGAAATATTGGTCTTATTGAAATATGTTTGTAACATAAACCAGCTTCATGGACGGGCAATGATCATGTGGACTGCAAATCATAAAATCCTCTGTGAATTGGAAAACGATAGAAATCTCTTTATAATCTCATTAAGAACAACATAGATTTTCTAAAACCAATTACTGTCAGTGTATACAAAACGTATATTCCTTCGAAAATCGTTTCTGTATTAAGCTAACATTTCCTTTTCGGGTCAAAGGACTGTCTTCATAAATTGAAATTAATGACCATTCGTGTCATACTGTTTATACTTAAAAACTCGTTCGATAGTTTTTACTTGGAATGGCGTAAAAGACTTGACATGTCTCATCCCTGATGCCTTTTAGTAGATTTTTTTCTATCTAGCTCGTTACTATGAGCCAAGAAATAAAATTGCTCTGTTTTTTATTCTGTGAAATATGAAAGCATTTTGTAAAATCATTTCGAGGTGGAATTATTGATACCGTTTGCTCCTAGTTTAAAGTTTAATCGGACTACTTGACGTAAAGAATAACTGATTGCATAAAACACATGCATGAAATGCTCGTAAACACTCTAGAAGGTTCAACTATTGACAGATTTTGACGAAACTTTGTGTAAATGTTTGTCATCAGCCATAATTGAACCCTATCGAAAATCAGAAAAATCAAAAAATGCTTAGTATGAGTTATTGTCCTTGTTCTTGAATTTTTTAGTTCGTAAATACTTCAGAAGGCACAATTCTTGACGGATTTATATGAAACTTGGCGTGAGTGTTAGTAATCACCCAAGGATGAACTCTATTGAAAATAAGGAAAAAATGAAATGATTAGTATGAGTTGTTGCCCTTGTTCTTGAAAATGCGTTCAATTTTTAGCACGTTGACACTCTAGAAGGCATCATTCTTGGCGGAATTTGATGAAACTTTATGTGAGTGTTTGGATGAACCCTATCAAAAATTAGAAGAATCGAAAAATATTTAGTATGAGTCATTGCCCGTGCGTGAACGATCTAGATGGTTGAATTATTGACAGATTTTGACGAAACTTGGTGTGAGTGTTTTTAAGCACCCAAGGATGAACCCTATTGAAAATCATAAAAATCGAGAAATTTCCCTTGTTCTTGAAAACGCGTGCAAGTTTTATCCCATAAACACTCTTGAAGGCACAATTCTTGATGGATTTTGAAGAAACTTAATATTAATATTAGGCCTATACAGTATCGCCCCTAAAAAGTTCAAAAGTTGAATATTTCATACTGGTAATTGTTACTGTACTGCCAAATATTTTTATTTAAAAAAAAAAGTCAATGCCGACATCTTAACGATCTACTAATCTTGCTTTTGATGCTGAATGTAAAAATGATTTTAAATTATGTTTGAAGGTTTGTCATATGTGATTTTTATTACAGTTCAACACCATATCATCATGAAGAAAGACATTGTTCAATATCTGCGAGTAATGCAATTTTGCTTCTACTTTAAATTCGGAAACATCAATCAAAAGTAGGTAAGCGTAATCAAATGTTTAGCATTCTTATTTCATTCTGCATTTGTTCAGCGCAGAAATCGAGTTTGTGGAGAGAAGACAGGTCGGCACCAATCGGAATTGCCATTGAATATCTATTACTTGCTATTCAATATAGACAATGGTAGGAGTAGAATTGTATAGTCTAGACACCCACTGACAGGTTAATCACTATCTTTCATTTTACTTAATGAGTACGTGCAAGGCTTTCAAATATTATTAAATGAAGGCAATTCAATGTCAGGATCACTTATATCTTGAAGACTATATACATTATTAAAGATTCATTATAATTTGTTGGTCGTTTGCTTGAATGAGTTGCCTTTGAAGTTAGGGATGCCTTCTTGATGTACAGACAGACAGTTCCTACCCTTCCCGGAGAATCAATTCATTTATTTTCATCCGCTATGTTTACTCGACTCATTTCATGTCCATGTCCTTGATATTGTCGTTTAGTGAACTTTATGATTGCGATATAAACAGGTTTCGTAAATGTCAGTTTTCTCCTTGTGATTTCAATCATTAGGTAGCAATGTGATCTTCTTTGTTTTGAAACATGTACATGATAACAACGTTGATTTGCTCATTTTCAATGAAAAGCGAGCATTTCTCTTTCCCATTCATCTCTTTTCCATATCTCCTATCAATAGAAATTCTGCTTGAGTTGATCCCAGTTATAGGGAATTATCTCTTTATTAAATTTATTTAAACTTTAATGTAAATGAAATAGCCGATGAGGCAAATATTTAGAGGGTAGTATTCCTCTATATACGTTATCGATGTAAACAGAATCGTTTCCAATAATTATTATTGTTTAGTTTGGCAACAAGCATGATAACAATTCAGGATTATCTTGCAATTAACAAAACTGTTTTTATTTTCACTTGAACCATAAGCTTTTTAACAGAATACACAATTTACTATCAGCATCAAGAGAATGGTCTCTTCATTAAAGTGTCTTGGGGTAGTTTTGTTCTTTGCTATGG